TACATAAAAGTTTGTTGTATGCGGGGACGGGGACGGGAACGGAGTATCACTACTTTTCTATGCTAGGAATTGAAAGAAAAATGTATTAATATTAGACGCCAATAAATATGGTAACTTTTATAAGAACACAACAGTTGTTTCTTGTTAGTTCTCAACTGCGACTTTTGTCTGAACTGGACAGTACGGATTAAAATAAAAAAAAAATACTAAGAAACATTTGTATAAGTGGTTAAATGTTCTACATGAATAAAAGCGTTTAGAGTTCACTACTTAAGTCTAATTTAAAATAATCAGAGTTGCTAGAAAGCGAAACGTTATTCAAAGTAATGACTGATGTGGATTGTGCATGATAGTATCATACTAGATATTTACAATTACTGTTTCATAATGTCCTGATGCTTAGGCGATTCAATTAAAATTTTACATACGACAAAATGAAATATTTAGTTTTTCTGTGGTAGCTGACTGCGCAGGCGCAATAAATTCAGCTGGGCCGCACACGACGGCTCTGCGTGACGTCACACCTCGTTTGATCGATGGCAAGAAGAAATGAGAGAATGCTATATAATACAGCGTGTAAGAAAGGGACGAAAACTCAATAAATTATTTCATCTTAAATTATTTTAAATCCACTCTTAAGCAAGTACGTTGACTTCTTGTATTTTTGACTTATGTTACATTCGTGTTATCGAGTCATTTTATTTATTGAAAAATGAACGGATGCAATGACAATATATTTTATATTGGACTTTTTAAATTCATATGCCATATATAAGATAAAATAATTATATAATTACAAATTGTATTATTGTTACAAAATATCTAAGTACAAATTATCGTAGTAACTGCTTCTGAAGAGAAAAGAAAGCTCCTGAATAATACACAAATTGTGGAAGAATGCCTTCGAAATACGAATAGTAATAGTAATATAATAGTAAGTATACGAATTCTTTTTCCTTTAGAATTATCTCTATTGAATATTTTCAAGAAATTAGGGATCCGTATAAAAACTTCGATAATATAACCCATAATGTGGAAAAATACAAATATAGTATATATCGCGAGCACTGCGTAAATATTTGACAATATAGCAAAGTGATGTAGGTACTATAGTTTTATAAAGTACTCACTTACATCAATATCTCAAAAATAGTCCGGGATACAACATGTCTAACTGTTACAGTAATATTAAAATAACTACTTTGTCGTATTAAAATATGCAATATCTAGTATCGCCGTTACAAAGTAGGCCATATCGCCTATATAACTTTTAAAATTTTCGTTAAATACTCTTTAGAAGCCGGGTTTTATAATAATAGATACAGTTGTTTATATAACTAATTAATTCAAATATGTAGTTACAACTAATTATTGTATAACCACATTCGACATTGAAAAGAGTGAATCGATTATCTCGTAAAGAAAAAGAATCGAGAGGGACGTAAGTTGCGCGGGACGCGGTAGACACTCGTGACACCTGACCGCAGCCATTTTGGCCCGTGAAATATGTTTATTTGTCATGGTTGGCCTTTGTTATTGAAATTGTGTTTGCCTTTACTCCTTCATTATATTGTTCGATTATACCCGCTCGTAGAACTCGTTTATGGATGCTCAATGTGAGAATAGCTTTGAAGATTTTAGAATATTGATTGTTGATACTGAGAAATGAGGAATAAATTTCAATTAAGCGGCCATTGAGTGTGTATAAGCAGCAACATGCGGATAAAGTGCAGTTATTTCCATGATTATCATCTCAAGGCGCGTAATGATGAAGCATGGCAGACAAATCTACTGACACGATTTCTCTAATCGGTTTATTATGTTCACCATTATATGTACAAATATTAAACGGCATTCACTTATTTAAATGTTAAATAGGTATTTAAATCAAAAAGTCGTAATTTATAGAAATCCTATCTATATACGGGAGACGAGACGGCGCGACGGCTCACTCCGCGTTTGATAAAAATAAGTCGGTTAAAATTTTACCAAAACAAAACGCACATCCACAGTAATGTAAACAGATTTTCCCATCAAGGAATTTCTACAAAAAAACTTACCTATTTAAAAACACTGAACAAAATTATATAAACTCAATAATATGTTTACGAATATCAAAATTTATACTAAACATACCAGTTTTAATAAGTTTGGCCAACTACTTGTTTACCACTACAGTCGAATAAAAAAATCTTGTCCAAATATCTATCAACAATAAAATATAATACGGCTATTTTCATAAAGCAGGTTGCTATTCGCAACTTTTTCTTACCTATTGAATGTATTAACTCGAACGAAACAATCAATCATAACAAATTCACAAGTCATCGGTTATTAAAAAACACATTGTGTTCGTTGAGGATGCGTAAATGCTAACAAACATTGTCACCTCTCGCTGCGAGTCAAATTCCAGACAAAGGATTCTACAGAAAACGAGCAACACAACAATAGCATGGTGGGTGTAAAGCATTGGGGCAATGGAGCAACCCGTAGTCGAGAGCAGCTCACGACATTTTCCCGGGAAACAGTCCCGCGGCGCGCGCGCCAGCGGCGACGCACAGTCTCACACCGCGACATATAAAAAATACAATTCATATTTTTTGTATGTGGTTTTATCTCCTCTTATATCAACGTTCCAGTATGATAAAGCACCAATAATGATGTTTCATTTTGAATCCATTTAACAAAATGTCGCGCACACATAAAAATGCTGGTGACACTTTTTTGTGTTTTAAAACGAGCAGTCGTAATTTAATACTCTGCACTAGCATGAACTCTGGAGGAGTTTGAATTATAATTTTATTGCTTTTTTTAGCATAACGACGTGTTTAAAGTGGCTACTTTTTGTAAGCTTAAAGTTATGCGGGTTATATGTCATATCTATCTTCGGTCGGCGCGCAGGTGCAAACATACTAAGTGTATTCTTATTGTTGTAAGGGATTGGGTTATCAGTGACACTATCTATGCTGTTCGACAAATCTTTTAGCTGTCAGAGATGTGACGTCAGCCAAATCGAGACCTCGCTCTGCGCTCGCGCCGAACCGACCAGTCGCTTACACTCGGTGTGATCAAAACACAGATATCACGCTCTTTACTTTGTGAAGTAGTTACCTAAGATTAAAAAAATATATACCAGTCTAATACTATATTGTTTATTTTTTTACATAAAATATAGCAGTCACTACCCATAAAATGTCTATTCAATATGCAATATCATTCTAATACAGATTTGGGATGTAGGCGTCACTATGGTGTATGAAATCAATGGGTATGAGCTAAGTGTTGGCAGTAAATCTGGAAACGCGTTAGAATCAATGGAAATCAATAATCGCAGCCCCTGGGGAGTCGTTCAGAGCCGGCTGCGGAGGTAGAACCTCCATGTGTATACTATTGATAGTTAGTGTACATGAGTACAATCAGATCACAGATAACATTCCAAATAAGTATGAGTGCTATTTGCATCTCAACGATTTGTCAGTGATGGATGCAATTCAACGTTCGCTATTGACAGCTATTTGTCCTCGGTCACAAGAGACAAAGCGATACACGCACCAATTGAGATACCATAATTATATACTTAGTATAAATGTTATGCTTCTAGAATTTCTTAATTGCATATTTATATTAAAAGTGCTTTGTCGCTTAGACTACTGAAGTAACTTGTACTTCTAATTAACGTATGAATGAAGATTTATGTGCCGTATTGTCGATATAAAGTAACATTTCCTTTATGAACTTCAAAATGTCCTAATTATTTTACTACGCGGGACGACACAAAACGAGGAACTTGGAGACGCCCAAACGCTCTTGTGACAGAGAATTAATTGCGCGTGGCGACACATGCAGCAACGGGCGGGCGCAGTTCTGACTTAAGTGAACAGAACGCTTCATTTAGCCCAGAAATATCCTTTAATTTTAAATTTGTGTTTATAAATGTTACTATATTGATTTGAGTGACTGTATTATATCAAAGCACCTAGATAACTATTGAGACGCTTATGAATAATACAGGTAGGTACGCTATTGACATTATTCTGCACCATGTGCCAGACTATGGCAAAATTATATATACACAAGATAGAAGAATAACCCAAAAGAAAGTATGGATCTTGAGAACAACAACAGCAACACGTGTTTGGGATGTGTTACCTAACTTATATCGAAAAATTAATTTAAAATGTCTTTCTATCTGTTTATTCTTGCCAATCTTTGAAACAGCTGGACCAATTTTTACGGAACTTTCACTCTCAGATAACTAATGCTATAAGGAGTAACTAAAGATACTTTTCTTTTAGAAAAAAAATTATTGAAATAAAAAGAAAGTTAAATACACGCGGTCGAAATCGCAGGTAACAGGTAGTATTAGATAAAGTTTAGAGGTGACATAGTGTTTGCATAATAAATATAATTACAAAACATAACTACATAATATTTTTTATTTCGTAAATTATCGTATGGTATACGATAAAGTTTTAGCAGAATACAGCTACTGACTAGTGTAGGTAAACTTTAGTGGCAAGGTCCAAAACTTGAAATAGTTATATTGAAGTTAAGGTATAGAAAGAGAAAGAATAAACTACCAATTGATTGTCATTAATTAAAAATACGAAATAACATTTGGAACGTTGGTAACACGTGGGTTAATAGCAGAAACAATCGAGTTTAACGTCTAGACTCTGGAGCATTATATTTAGCTCGGGTGAAAACTTTAATCGTCACCGTCGGGCACGCGTCAAGCGCACTGTCCGTCTGTCGTCGGCAACGCCCGCGTGTGGCCGCCTTATAAACAAAAAATTATGTGCCACCTCCCTTTGTTCAGACTGGACATACCTTTCAGCGAGATGCAATTAGTAAGACGGTAATAGAACTCGTCGATTGTCAACCGACAGCGCGATGCGATTTCAAATGTCTACTTCTCTAATCTATTTTAGAAATCAAATAAAATCATTGAGAGTAAATCATGTACTCGTGTGTATTATAATAAATATGTTAATACTTACAAGTTGATTTTGATATGCCGTTACTGCAGTGAAAACACATTCTGGGAATATGAAAGTCTTGAATTCTTCCTGCTCCAGATCAGTAATAGGGGCATTCAAGGCACCTTCTCGGCGAAGAACCAGGTGAATTCGGGGTTGGTACTTGTGCATTGAATTTAACACCAACTGGCGATACAAAATTAATTATTTAAATATGTAAATAAGATAATCAATAGACAGTTATCCTATTATTGTTACCCTACTTAATGACTTTACTCATTATATATAAATGTCAATTTTTCATACATATACATACGCACGGGGCTCATCTGATGGTAAGTGATTACCAATGCTTAAGAGCACCTGCAATACTAGAGAAATTGCAGGTGTAGTTAACTTTAAAAATTTTAACAAACTAATAGAAAGGGACGTTTTGTTTCAGAAATACCGCTGTTTGTCAGCTAAATATTTTGAGACACAATTTTAGATCACTTTTATGTTAGTATAAATACATATATTTATTACCTGTCCATTCTTATCCATTTCATTGTTGGTAAGCTTGACCTTCTCAAAGGAGACGACTTGCTTTCGCAGCTGGTCACCGGAGAAGGGCGAGTCAGGATGTGGGTAGAGGCGCGCGGGAGCGGGCGGGTCCGCCTTGCCGGCGACCAGCCACGAGGAGCGGTGGTACGCGTACCGGTACCGTTTCCCGTCCACCGGTACCACGTCCAGCAGCACCGTATACCGGGCTTCAGCGCGGCATCCCGCAAACGATACACGCACCGTCGGAAACATGCGTCTGCGCACAACATCAATTTCATTAATTATAAAAATCTGATATTTAAGCTGCTTCCAGCATTACACTTATGTCTAAAACTATTAACTATAATATCAAATATAACTTTAAATTTAAAATTGTAACTATAATGTATGGATCACAAATATAAATAAAAATGCAATATGTGTGATGAAATGAAGAATGAAAGTGTAATAAGAATTTAAAATTCGTATAATTTCTTTCACATACCATTCTTTTATATAGAGCGTAGTACGGTTAAGTAACTATTAAACAGAAAAAATGTCGTTTATTATTGAATATGGGTATATTTTAGATATTTATTTATATTGTTGTTTTTGCATACATATACAATATTGCTGTATTTCATATACAAGTGTACATTGTGGACTTCCTTGTCCATTGTTTTGTTTAACCGTATATTTTCACATTAACGCAATTATGCGACAATTAGTTGGTTGAGTTGCAATTATCGTCACCCGTGACCGACGCAAATCGCCTCTTACTCAAGAACCGAGATTATCGCAAATTATTTCAAGTAATTAGTACTTGCAACAATAAAATATAAAGTTTTCTTTATATTTTACATACGTATTAAGAAACGACGAACTGAGTTATTGGTAACTGAACAGTGTTACATTAATATATGGTTTTGTAGATCATATAATTTTGTGGGGACAACAGTTCCTTTAAGGTAAAGGAAACATTTCAAATGGAGCTATTTCCGGGCATACATAAATTGGGCAATTCTAATCCACACCAGTAGTAAAAAATGAAGTATGTCTGTATTTCTATTTGTTACTTTTTCACAAGTAAACAGCTAATTGGCTGTTAACGAAAATCATCAAGATATAGTATACCTATCATAAAAATTTACTTATCGACTAATAGCTACCTTAATCGTAGGATACAAAACCAAAATCATATCGCTATCGCAGTAAATTATAGATATTACAAATCAAATATGAACGACGATTATAGACACACACATGTAACATCTTATTACACACTAAAATTTCAAATGTTGCACTTGAAAGTACATGAGGGGAGAAGCAAAAAAGATTAAAACTTCTATATAGACTAACAAAAATGAAATTCCCGTATCAATCAATACTGAATATAGAGGAAAATATAAACTTGAAGACAAAACGTGCATACGATATTCGTTCTAAAGGCAAGAAACCCGTTCCCCTCTTTAATACACACACATTCTTTTATGTCTCCCATTGGAGATAGATGAATGAGTACACATATTTGTATAATATGTCTTGTTTACCGAGCGAAATTGCTTGCGGTTGGTCGACATGATGGGTAACGGCCCTTATTACTGTTCTTTCTATGTTGTAGTTTCCTGTATAAATATTATTTCTTTGAGAGAGAGGGTGAACTCAAACATTATATGTACCTTATACTAAAATTACTTACAGATTTTTTAATATATCACTATTTATACCAAAATTTTTGGATTAGTACATAAAACTTGTTCAATAAAAGTAAATATTATATTCCGATTGCCGCAAAACATTCCACCCGGAATACATCATTTTAAAAATAACATAAAACAACAGCCTAACAGTATAAAAACACTTGAAAAAACTGATCTTGAATGATAATAAACTCGTTGTGAACAGAAAGAAGTGTCACAAAAAGTGGTGTTAGTAGCGGACGCGTGAAACACTATCTCCTAATCGACATAAAATGGTAGTCATTGAGGCGGCGAGAACGGAAACAACAAATCTTTAAATGTAAGGCGAGTCGCACTGTTTCATCTGTTGGCCTCTCACTTTTCACCGACAAAGCTCCGGGTTGGCGGTGTGGGCGAACGAGACACTACACGAAGTCTGACACTTCGCCATCAGTTCCTGAACAGCGTTACGGAATTCGTCTTTCAAGATTTCTGACCCTCGAACTACATTCACAAGATGATAGACGACCACCCAAGCAAGCTGCTAACCATGACTATAAAATTTACTCCATTGCAATTCTATCCACAATATCACATTGATTAGTTTGATTTATTCGGCAAAATGAATGGCTTATGTTACATACAATATTATTGAATGCTGCGATAGGATGTTAAATGTCGAAGCTACGTCCATGTTATTAAAGTTTATTCTAACGATTTTACAAGATCGAGGTAGAGTAGAACGAAACAAGAATACCATTAATAAGATTTATGCGTGTTTAGTTGTGGTCTCGGCCGTCGATTTGTGAGACGCTTCTTATAGCTCTCGGGATGGTGCATGCGCCTGGGCACGGGCAATTGCGCACATGCGTTAATGGCGACACTCTGCGCACTGCACGATATATTACCGCAATGATATATGGCCACCGACGTCGTCCATCATACTACCACCCAAAAGTTAGCGGGAAACAGGGAGAGGGCAAAAAGATCAAGAGAATCACGGGTAATAAGTTGAAGCGCTATAATGAGGAGATGCTGAAGACAGAAATAAAGGCGCCCGTTTACAACCGCTCATTATTGTTATGACATTGTTAAAGGGCGCATCTATGGATTAAATCTGGAATCGTACCATAAATTAAACTTCTCTTGTTGCACTGTAGTCTTTTTGTACTGTTAAATAAAATAAAATGTAATAAATAGGACAGGCAAAGTTTTCAGTGTCAGCCATAAACAACGAGAGTGTAAATGTACCGTAAATTCCGTTATTTGGATTATTACACTTTGAGAACCTAAAATTGGACCTACTCCACGTGTTATCCGCATACTAATAAAGATGCAGCAGTGCAGCTAACAAATATAATCAAAGATGTAAATAATTTATGAAGGTTTACTGCTAATAAGAAATTATGATAACACCAATAATATTATATTAAATATAAACAATAGATTAATTGAAAAATTCATTTTTATTACAGTTTTATACTTTTGCAGTTCAATATTGTGTTACCATATCGTAAAGATTTTTTATATGCTACAACCACGGATACTCGAAAAGAAATACGTATTATTTTTATATAGGTATAACTATATTTAGTTCGATATATAAAATATTTTTCTTATTGAAATACAACATATTACCAATTCATTTAATTGCAAGTTATTACAAAAAAGTCTAATATTATTTAAAAATAATATTACGTCGAGGCGATAATACTAGTAAGTAAACATAATAAGTTAAAATACATGTATAGATTTTAAAAAGACCAGTTTTATATTTTAGTTGTTTTATAGGTTGCGGGAATGCAAGGGGTAAAATTAGTAGTTTGTGAGTTAAACGAGCGCGAAGAGTTGCAACGGTGCGCGGACGCATATCGTCTTAATTAGAAAGCCACGAGGCGAGGTGCGAACTCGTCAATCATTGTTTCCCGCCGCTGCAAGAATTTCATTTGATAAATGTATTCAACGGACTATTCAAAAATTTGAAAAAAAGCAACATTTTGCTATAATATTGTGAGGCTGTATACAAGGATAGTTTCTATAAAAGTTTAAGTTAAGAATAATCAATAAATTATATGGTATTAAATATTATTTTTACACTTAAAAAGTGTTGTTTCAATTAAATCCTACATTTCATCTGTGTAAGAATATAATTTCCGTCTTGTATATATATTGTAGAGACAAGACGGAAATTATATTCTTATACAGATTGACCTACGAAAATTGTGGTATATCTGTGTATATTGCCTATTATAGACGTTTACCAATGCCCTAGTTCTCTCAAAGACAAAAATTATTTATAATTATTCATAACAATTTATTATTTATTTATAATATTTTAACAAACATAATATAACTGTACAATGGGCATTTAAAAATTAAAACATACAAACTTCTTCAGAAACTTTCTCATTCATTATATCAGTAGGAAGTAGGATACGAAGTAACGCCGAGGTACGTGTACATACCATTAGCGCAATGTTATCACGTTGTGATTAGGACCCGTCGCGCAGCCAATCCGCGCACACAGCCCCCTAATTATACAGGAAAGCGCTTTATTAATAGCAATTACACCCGCCGCCATATTGCCAACGCGATTTAATTAACTCAATTCGTTGATTAGACACAGATGGCGCGAGATTGCAGATTCCGACCCGGCCGCTCATTAGCGCATTTTTGACGCGAGCCACTTTACAGCGTAAAGGTAGGGTTAATATCGATTTATTAAATTATAGATTTTTTTATAGATACGAGATTTCTTTTTATTAGGTTTGTCGGTTAGTCAGGGTGGATTTTTAAACTCAAAATTTGACTATTCGACTTTTTCAATGCCATATACCTACATACGTACGAAATGTTTATTAAGTCTGAAGAATTGGCGTAGTAATGATGTTTCATTATTAGTTATAAAATCAGTATAACCGTATAATATTAAAATTTATCAAATTCTCTTCAATTAAATTATCCTCCATGATTAATTTTATACCTAGATGGCTGCGCACCAGCAAGTTCAAGTGGCAGCTACTTTTTTATATTTTTATATTTTTTTATAGACTGAGTGCCTCTTATAATGGAATGCCCATGACAAAAAATAGGCTTGCTGTAAAACTAGAAATGTTGAACACTTTACAGCGCGCAAAAACTTGTTCTCAGCTGTTATTATTGGAAATTAGCGCTAATAATAAGCTCTAAGTGATTTCTGTAGCATAATGGCAGTGACAACAATCACTGCCGGTGGCCAATGGACATTATGTCGTTTAATGAACCAACTGGAACATACGGGTACCACTGGTATTAAGTACTAAAACTCTAAACAGTCTAGTTTCTGAATTTACAATATGAAAACCTGAACCTTGACTCGATATAAGATATTATTTGTGTTTATGCTGTATTCCTATTGTGTACACTACGAATCTGGTAAGATCTATATTAGGAAGGTATCATACATAAGTTTCAGTATTTATGAAGAGTTGCTTAATTGTATTAGATAAAGATTGTTTGATGGTTAATGGTTTAATGGTTACCTTTATTAACATTGAAGTACGACAAACAACTGGCTCTGAGTAAAAGTATTAATAAAATATTTATAATTACTTAATGT